TTTTTGGTTATTGGGAAAATGCCGGTAAAAGGTTTTTCCACATTGGACTTCCAAGATTTCCCACCAGCATAAATGGGGGATTTAACCACTATATGGGGGATGTCGAGGACCTTTTGAACATCCATAAAAGTAAATTAGCATATTATATTGCACACATCCTGCTCCTCTGTTCTGTGGCAGGCTGTATAAAAGACCTGATTAGCATTCCAAAGTCAATTTGAGTTATATAGCCCAAATTTACAATTTTGCCTCAAGGGGCTTTACAATCGATCTAGCATACAACACCTTCTGTCCACAGAGCCTTGGGTCTTCAAACAACTCTCCAAAAAGCCTTTTAAGGAGGAACAAAATAAAGAACTTCCAGGTAGAGAAAGGGAAACCTCTTTTAGGATATGAAATATATTCTGGGATGGAGATGGTTTTAATACAAGAGACGATCATGAGCATTGATGAAATCAGGTGTGGAGACTTTGTTTGATGGTATTAAAACAATTGATTTAAGCACAAAGTAATCCTATCTTGTCTATCTTCGCTAAAGAAACAAATCATTACCAGTAAGGCTTTTTGACTGTGATCTGATATGTTGAGGGTTTTGTGGGAGCTGCAGCTTTCAGTAATTGGCCAATAAGCAACAGTAGAGGGATACAATCATTAGATATTACTCTTCACGTAATCGGCAATATTGGCACAGCTTCCTTTGATTAGCTGCAGATCTCTGTCCTGAAGATATTTTGGGTCACCAGAATCCCTCCCTCATCCCCATTAGCCCGGTGTCCGTCATCTCCACTTTCCTCCTCCACTCTGGAGCCCAGCTGAATTCCTGGCTTTTGTTTGTGCCGTCCCCTTGGAATTTAGGAGATGGCAATGTGGTGAGGGGGGTTGGGTTAGGATGGGACTCACGGGGGAGAACATTGAGTGACAGAGCGGTGCAGAGACTGAAGTGTAGGACAGCAGAAAGAGAGACAGGCAAGAAAAAGAAAAGGATTGAAGAAGAGTTTAAGGCAGAAAGGAGGAGGAAGTTGGAAGAAGGGTGTGTGTTTGTGTGTGTCATTAGATTATGCTGCTTCCCTGGGGGAACAGCCATTATTGATGTATTGATTGCCGGCCCCTCCCCATCCACTCAGGTCTCCTGCCATTGGAGGCCATTCATCTGGTGTCTCTTTGGGATATGATGGCTACTGCATATTTAATTAGCCTTCCATTACAAACAATCAACATTCAGACAAGGGGTTCAGATCAAAGCTTAGGTTTTAGGAACAAAGGTTAAATGACATCTTGCCTTCTGATCCCATGGGGCTTTTTTCTCAAGTATGATCAGGGATGCTTTTACTTCACCTGTCATGCGTATTATATACCAAATCGAAGCATACCTGCCAGCATAACACCCTTTCCCAGTGAAATAAACCTCATGTGTTGGTTTAACAATTGGGAAAGTTGATTTTAAACTGTATTTTCTCCACGCTTGTTTTTTTTGCGGTTTCTTTTCATTTTGGCGTGTCACAGACGCTTCTTTTTGGACCAGAGGCCTGTACTACGAAGCTGGTTCAACCTAACCTGGATATGTTTGAGTTAGCCGGTTGGCCTAATCCAAAACATACGCGCTCTCGCTAAGCGGTCCTACAACGCTGGTTATCAAGTGGATCGCTCAAGCCAGTCGTTTCCTATCTAGTTAGGTGCGCGTTCACATGAAAGGGGTGGTATTTGGAGCATTCGACCAATCACAAACATGGAGAAGCGTACTGACAGCGCAGCGTCATACTTCCTGAATGAAAAGTGAACTTTAATATTAGTAGAATATGAAGAAGTTAAACTTTAAACATCCATGACTTAAACACTTTATCCAGGATCAAAGCCACATAGCTGCACCTGCAAGGTGAATACAGCTGGCAAAAGAACAAGTGTTTGAATGCGTACATTAACAGGTTTATGATATCACTGCAACACATTAAGTTGACGAAACACTCGAGTCTAATGTAATTAAAGTCAGATCGTGTCTTAGACGGCTAAGACACGATCTGACTTTAATTACATTTGACTCCAGTGTTTCGTCAACTTAATGTGTTGCTTAAAATAATACTTCTGCATACAGTATGTGACACTGTAGGCCTAAGTGTTGCACGGCCAGATACGGCTCAAGAAGCTGACTCAGATAAGGAAATATATGATACATTATGATGTGATATGAATGATAATGGGACATATTGACGTCTGCACTCACAGTGCCGTGGACTGTACGTAATGTTACTTTGATCCAGTTACTTATGTTGTGGCAGATATTTAATTAAGCTTTCTTAACACTAATGTTATAATAGTCAGATTGCTCTGAAGATGGGAGGTGATATTCTATTAATGTTCACGTTCACACAGTCGGTGATTTTTGCCAGCCGTCTTTCCTGCAACGGCAGTTTAAACTGTATTTCCTTTCTCCTGTAATATGACTTGATCGCTTTAAACTCCGCACACTGAGCTCTGATTGGTCAGCAGGCAGTGCTTTCACTGAGTTGATCTCTTAGCCTGCAACCTAACCTGGTCCCGACCAGGTTAGCCGCACAGCATAAGTTACCATGGAGATCTAGCCCGCTAAAAAGAGAACCAGCGTCGTAGGACCAGAAACCCCGAGTTTTCCCTGAAGTTAGCCGGCTAAGCGAAAATCCTGCTTCGTAGTACAGGCCTCTGGAACCAGGATTGGTAAACAATGGTGGAAGCCAGTGAAAATGTAGCATTGGCCTCTTTTTTAATATATTTGTACATATTCAGTTTATTTTTCAAACTCTTAAATCAGAGTTGGTGATTGTTGGCACAGTGAAGGAGTAATAAAGATGGATTAAATTAGTCTTATTGTGTTTCTGTAAAGCTCAAATTAAGTGGGTTCATGATGATCAGCGCAGTAAAATCACTGTGTGACTAAGGCCCCGTCCACACGGAGACAAAACGGGTTGTATCCGCTACAGTTCTCTATCGTATAGACGGTTCGTCCACACGAGGCCGACACGGAAACGCTGATAACGAAAACGGTAACGGCTCCCAAGGTGGGTAGATCTGCGGACGAAACGCTCTGGAGGGCCAAACGGCTCCGTGTATACGATCATTTCCTGATAACGATGACGCCATAGCCCCACCTCTGCTGCTCACCCCCGCGTCACCGCTGATGTGTTTTGCCAACAACAACAACAACAATGGCGGATCACAGGGTTGCTTTCGTGCTCCAGATGCTACTGGCCATGCCACAGATGTTAGTGCAACATCTACAGCTCCTCTACCACAACCATCAGCAGCAAGTGGACATAGAGAACTACCTGAACTACATGTTGCTAAATCCACTGCGGAGAATAAACAGGGCAACCATGGCAACCATGCCCGGGGGGTCTTATTCGCTGCTTTTGGTGTATTTTGTGGCGGAAGTACAGCGCCACTTACAGGCCCGGCATATGTACTACAGCGTCTCCAGCGGGTTGAGCGGTCTCGTTTGGACGGACACATTTCTGGTGCAGATTCCGTGTGGACGGAATACTTTTTTGATATCGACCTCGGTTTGTTTTTAGTTTTCATCTCACTGTGGACGTGGCCTAAATGTCTAGCTTTGAAGAAGAGATAAATGAACGTTAAGAAAGTATAATTATTGTCTTAATCCTTAATGATTTCCTTTTATTATGCATCACTTGTGTAGAAAATGAGCGTGCCAACCCAGGTGATGTTTCCATCACAGCCAATCAGAACTCAGGTGGATAATTAACCATGAACACTGCAAAGTCATTTCTCCTGGCAATCAGTGTTGATTGTAAACCATCCCAATAAAGTCAATAGCCAGCTGTTAGAGTGATTTTTACTTAATAGTATAAAATGGTTTTCAAAGGTCTATTATTCAACATTAAAAAAAATGCATGTTATTAAGAAATAATACATTTACAAAGAACAGAATGCTTTCAAGCATTAATCACATCAGGTATTAGACTGTTGCATGCATTGACAGTATTACATAGTTTGAATTATGTGACATCCCTTAATGACCCTCCTCCACAGCTGTTGGGAGTTTGTTCAGAATGAGTATTTTAGTCCCTCTGTGTTTGAGAAAAAAGAGAAACTCTCTAGGGTGCTGCTGCCGATGGAGCCTCCCTGCTAACACATGCATATGGATGACTTGCTCATCATTCATGGGCTTTTCTCATTAATTGTGTGTGTGTGTGTGTGTGTGTGTGTGTGTGTGTGTGTTGTGGTGTGTGTGTGTGTGTGTGGTGTGTGTGTGTGTGTGTGTGTGTATGTGTGTGTGTGTGTGTGTGTGTGTGTGTGTGGTGTGTGTGTGTGTGTGTGGTGTGTGTGTGTGTGTGTGTGTGTGTGTGTGTGTGTGTGTGTGTGTGTGCTGTGTGTGTGTGGTGTGTGCTGTGTGTGTGTGTGTGTGGTGTGTGTGTGTGTGTGTGTGTGTGTGTGTGTCGTGTGTGTGTGTTGTGTGTGTGTGTGTGTGGTGTGTGTGTGTGTGTAATGTGTGTGTGTGTGTGTTGTGTGTGTGTGTGTGTGTGTGTGTGTGTGTGTGTGTGTGTGTGTGTGTGTGTGTGTGTATTTTTCAATAGACAGGGACTTTTTGGCCTTACATTATTTAAACATGAAGATCTTTAAATGTTTATAAATAGTAAGAACGTAATAGAAATGTCATTGAATTAGGCATACATATACAAATGAAAATCTGAGGGATAATGTGAATATTTAAAAATGATCGGTCAGTCTCAAGCACTTTTTGAACATGTCATAGTAGAGGCACAACATACAAATATGATCCTAAAAATGAGCAGAATAGAGCACCTTTAAGGACTTCTTGAGGGTCTATCTGAACAACAATGAGAGTATTCCAAATGATTAGTCAGTTGTTCATGCATTTTAAAATGAGTGAGCTTGTCAATTTATGAGTATAGCTTTGATCGAAGTCTTATATGAAGTCCCATAGGATTTCTCTTTTGCTGTTTAATTGGGAACAAAAAGCTGATTTGTCTGTCTCCCTGTTCTCCCAGGTGTTTCTGTTCTTCTGTGAAACCTGCTCGGTGCCTATCTGTCGGGAGTGCAGTGTGGGCCGTCACATGGGCCATACCTTCGTCTATCTACAGGACGCCGTACAGGACTGCAGGTCCATCACCATCCAGCTGCTGTCAGACGCCCAGCAGGGACGCCAGGCTGTGCAGGTGAGACATGAACCAGGACAGACACTTTCAAAGGGATTAACCCTCCTATTGTCTTCGTTTTCCCCCCCTTACTTTGGTATTCGCGGTCAAATTTGACCGGTCCTGTTTTAACTATTACATTTACACAAAAACCATTAATCATCACCAAATTTCATTTAACACCCTTTCAAACTGTAAATATTGTATCAGACTACTGGTATACATGAAAAACTGCAGTAAATATCCAAAGAATAGACACTGAACATGTATTGCGTGTGCCAGGTGTGATCCATGTGGGGGGATGGGCACATAAGAGTGGGAAATGTATCAAATTGTTCTGTGTGTTTGAGTGCCAGGTGTGATTCACATGGGGGGATTGGGCACATAAGGAGAGATAAAACACACACACACTCTAGATGTGTGTGTGTTTTATCTGATCCGATCCGGATCAGCGGCGCCGGATTCATTTCAGAAGTGGGGGGGGCCAAAAAGTGCATGTGACATAGCCTACTTGCCAACCCTCCCGATTTTCGCGGGAGACTCCCGTTTTCCTCCCGGGGTCATATTTATCCCGCATTTCTCCCGATTTCTGACTAAATCTGATTTGTTTCATTCTAACATAACGCACCAAATGTTACTGTTTCCACTCGGACTTCAATACAGCTACACCATTGTTTGGTTTCCATGGTAACTTGTCTCTTTAGTAGCGCGAGCAAATGAAAGTCTGAGAGGGTCTTCAGGAGGAAGATAGTCAGAGAAAACAGAACAAGAATGGACAACTCAACCCTCTGCTCACTCCTTTCCTGTAAATTAAACTATACAGACTAGCCCACATATGACAGCGCAGTTGCTCATTCCATCTCTTCTTTTTTCCTGCTACGCTCTTGTTTGACAAGCTGAATGTTGACTGGTGTTTGACTGAAGTAAGCTCTGTGAAAAGTTGCAGTTATTAACTCGGTATTTACAAAGCTGTCATCTCTACATTTGGAGAAAGTTACAAGCCGTTTGACAGCAGCACATCTGCATATTTCACAGAAGGCTCGTTTAGTGGTTTTGCAAATAATTAACCACTCTCTGTTTTTGTACCATTCTGCATTGAAGTACCTTTCTCTTTGCCCAAATAAGCTTTTATTGGCCCGTCACAATGTCCCGACAACAAACCTCCATGCAGTCGGAACCAGCCTGTTTCGGTTCAACGATGCCGGCGGCGGCGGTTTTGACAGCCTCTGCGGCCGCAGAGCTGCTGCTGGGGTTCATCTGGCTGCGCTGGTTCTATGGTTGAAGGACCAGGCTCCGGAGTTGTGGATGTCAGGGATGTGACATTCAAGTTGTTGAATTTCAGCTTAGTTTGACTGTATTTTGTTTTCTTATGCGCCGGTTCTTCTGACATGTTTGCAAGTTTATCTATCTAGGTTAACGGCTGACACACACTGAACAACGTAACACATAACGTAAACAACGTAACAAATAAACACATCTAAGCTTTGTTATTGGTTGTAATGTACATGGATACATTTGAATGGTGTGACAATGTCCTATTTGATTGGATTAAAATGTACATATTCTTCCTGTTATGTCTGCCTGCTGTATTTTACCTAATGCAAAGTGACCTGCTGCTCCATCGAAGTCAGTCGCATTGATCCGAAGACACATTTTGAGTGGTATACACTGTTGGAAAGAGGAGATTCCTAGCTTTCTAATGATATCAGGATTGTTTTTGTACTATATTAAGCAAAATATGTCACATTATATAATGACTGTCACAGTCATCATTTTGAGAAAAAGGCCTTTAAAGTTTCCTCTTCTCTGGATCGATCTGATTGATTATTAACGGAGCAAATGATCAAAGTAGTACGGAGGGAAGATATTTTCGTTTGGATTACTGGTCTGGGGGAAGCTCGCGAGTGTGTGTGTGTGTGTATACGTGTGTGTGTTGGTGTATTTTTGCGTTTGTTTCCCGGGGAAAACTCTCAGGAGAAACACCGGCTGTTGTTATGCTTACTGTGACGTCAAGTTACTCCGTTCTCCGCTTGTAATTATGCCGTTAAAAGCTTCAAAGCTGTATTTATCATCTGAATTTGCCGAAACAAGTTTAACATTCTGAAAGCCAAGACTTTGTTTATTTGAAATCAGATAAAAACAAACTGTAACGGACCCTGCGGTGTTATCTATAATTACTATATGCCTTACATTCATAATGTCAGCGGAGGGAGGGGAAGCGGCGCTGTGGGAGAGCTGAGTGGCGAGTGAGAGGCGAGCTGTGTTCTTCCCTTTACAAGCTTAAAAAATGCCTGTAGCTAATGAGATTGAATATAACAATCAAAAATAACAAAATATACACAGCGTTCTTTTTAGATGCGACTTTAGAGTAGAGGGGAATTATTGAAACGGGATGTGTACAGTGTTCCGCGGCATCCGCTGCTGCGAAAATGTGGGGCAGGGCCGTAAAGCGGGGGGGCCAATGGCCCCCTGGCCCCCCCGCTTCCGGCGCCCTTGATCCGGATGATTACTAATTCCTTTTCTTTATGGCGGTCATTTTTGACCGGGAACACCATGGATGTTACAAAGTTGACTAAATCATCCAAAATTCAATGGAAGTGGTGATCAGCAATTTGATATGTTCAAATGTCTACTGTGAAGGATATCATAAAGCCTTAATGCAATCGAATGTAAAACACTTAACTTTTTTTTACTCCTACTGTAAAAGCTTGAACTTATGCAGCAGTCTTGAGGGAAACATAAAATATGCATAAAATAATACTTAGTGTTGTGCTAGAGCTGGGGGACATAAAGAAAACCATATTACTATTTTTGTCCAAATACTTCAATATCAATATTGTGACAGTATTGTAGGGTTGATGCTTTCACAAAATATTTTAACAATGAGAAATTTGACAAATATTGACAAGTAATGTTGATTTATTTCTTAGTGAGCAAAGGTTAATAATGTGATAGCTCGAACAGTCAAGTAAATTCAGAAAATGACATCCATTCACTGTAAAGCAACCTTTTACAGCAGGAAAAACCAAAATCTAAGACGGTATTCATCCTCATATCAGAATATAGGTATAATCCTAATATCAGATTTTGTCCGAATCAAAGTGTGTAAAAACGGAATATAAATTCAAGACAACACGACCAGATGTCCTTATAATTGGTTCAAAAGAAAACCTGCTTGAATCACTCCACCGGATTCAAAAAGGCCAACCTAATTTAAGTCTTTAACTGCGGGAAGCTCATCTGCATGATTTCTTCAAGGTCTGACAAAAAGACAATCCTTGTAAAGGTCAAGCCGCACAAACCCAAACTCATCCATCTCCTGGAGACGCCGCGGAGAGCAGCTGTGTGTTTCCAGCGTCGCTCTGCACAGATGATCAGCCTGAATGTGTTTGAGAGTTTGACCAGTGCAGGGGCTGCTGGGACGCCTGGGGTTAGAGGTGTCCAGCTGGCCCTGAAAGGGGGTGGGTCACATGGGGTGAGGTCTGGCGGGGGCAGGGCTGGAGGTCACAGGGGTGGAGGAACGGAGAGGAGGATGGGGGAGGGTAGATGAGGTATTTAAAGGATTTCTGAGAAAGGAACACTTTGCCCTACCCCCTTTTCAGGCACTCACCCATCCACTCCTCCCCCCTCCCCCTCTTCCTCTCACACACACACACACACACACACACACACACACACACACACACACACACACACACACACACACACACCCTGCCTACAATTACGTAATTATAGATTGGGTGGCAGCCTCCTAGACCCCCCGTTGTTTCCAATCCATACAGTGACATAATAAGTGAAAAAAGGGTGAGAGGTTTCCGTAACAGTTTGATATTTGCCTAAACAGTCCTGATTCTCTTTGCTATTCGACACTTTTTTTTTAGGAAAGTTGCAAGACTGACAATAGAATATAATACAAAAACATAGATTATTAGTGTTCAATATTAAATACTTAGCCATCCCTGGTGCTATGGCTCTGATAGAGGTGTGCCTATCACAGTTAAACATGATAAAGAACGTTAAGGAAACGGGAAGATTAACCTCAAAAGGTTTGATGTTTTAGAGAATCCCAACCTGAACACATATATAACAATATGCTGGATTACAAAGACAGATGGATTGTTATGTTCGATAATGCTGCCTAATTAGCATAAAGGAGCGTCATTTATATAAATCAGATTCAGGAACTCACACACTTTTCAATAAAAAAATTCAATTCACGTCAAGAAACGTGGTTGTTTATAACCAAATCTCAAACCCTTTATGTGCTCTAATTTACGTCTTGTTGTGTTTTTAAATGACGATTAAAAAAAACAAAACGTACATGATTAGTTGTTTGAAATAATACAAATTAACAACAATTTTGATAAGCAATTGGATTTCTACAGTTATTTCTACAACTGCCAGTTTAGCCGCTGTATTCAGGCACAGAAGTAGTCTCAGCTAAACATGAAAGTGTGCTAACATGCTAATGTTTAGTTGGAACTGTTAGCCATGCTCACTAGCTTAGCATGCTGCTTACGTTTTCTCGTAAGCCCAAAACTCAAGGTATATGGAGGTGGTTGCTATTGGATACATTTTGATCTCATGTTAGGGGATAATAAAAGTTATTTACGTTTGTGGATATGAATGAGTTATGAGTTGTAGCCACAGCTAAAAGGGGTAACATTACTGGATCACTCCCTAGCGTTGTCTAATGTGCCTGGGAGGTGTGGTTGTGTTATGACCCTTTCTATTAAACTTGAAATACTAGCTGTTCCACTAAGGTCATGTGACACGTAGGCATGTACTGTATCTCTTCCTCAGAGCTTGACCTTTGTGTGATCGGGTCTCGCTTTGTGCCTTAATGGACAGATACTTGTGTCACTCTGGGTGTTCTGCAAATTCCCACATATCACAACACTGCCTAGTTAAATAGCATTCACCAGGCTATGGTTAGTAAAGCTAAAGATAATACCACAACACACACGTTATCTTGACCAATGAGAGACAAATTCCAATAATTTATGTAATGAACAGCACATGGATCTGTGCTGAGTCATAAGAAACCCCCCTACCATCTGGCATTACCTTGGTTTATCATGCGTTTGTCTATTTTGGCCCAGGTCAACATGAGAGTTAATGCTGACGCCAGATAATACACACAAGCACACACACACGCTCCACTCTGTCCCCTGAGGTCGGAAATTTCCGCCCACTCCACATCCATTATCTTCCCTGACCTCCGACTCCAGGCTTGTGACCTCCTAGTTGGTCAGAGTTGCGTCACGCAATTTGATTGGTTGGTTTCACCCTCTTTGTGTAACAAGATGTGCCTTTCTGGAAATGTTGAGAGGAAGACGCAAAGAGAGGAGATGGAGACACTGAGACAGGGAGGGATATTAAGAGAAGAAGAAGAAGCCACTTAATCAAGGAAATTCAGTTTTTCTTTACACACAGTTAAGATACACACATGCACAAACACATAGATTTTTTTATGGAGGGGTGTCGGAGACAATTTGAGGTTTTATTCCACTAGGGAGCAATTGGGGGGTTTGTGCCTTGCTCAAGGAGACTTATCCAGTAAGCAGTCCACACTTTGTACTTTTTTTCCAATCGGGACTTGAACCGGCAACCATTTGGTTCCAAAGCCACTAATGCGGCTTTCACACCAGCGCATTTCCCTTTCTAGCTCCGAGCGGGATCTTTTCTGGTTCAGCTCCGGTTTCCCTTTTCTGCTCCCGCTCTGTTCACACCGCCCAGAGCTGCCGCTGCTGCGTCATGACGTCACCGTTTACGTGCCTGCTTCATAAAATCCAAACCGCGCGGAAATCCCTCACATCGAACGGTTTTCCATCGTTGTGTACAAACTGGTTAAAACGCAGGCATTTTGTTGTTGTTCAGGAGGTTGATCCCGCCCATGCCCCTGCCCCTGCCCCCGCCTCGACGTAAGAGAGAAGTAAGCGACGCCGCCTCTTAGCTCCGAAGCTCTTGCCTCTAGACCGACAATTTTTTGGAGCTGGAAGTGAACCAGATTCCGGAGCTAAGAGGCGGCGCCGCTGCGGTGTGAACAGGAAAAAAACGGTACTTTTCAGGCTCCAGCTCCGAGCCGGAGCTGAAAACGCGTTGGTGTGAAAGGGAAAAGGGAAAACTGAGCTGCAGTAAAACAAATCAGAAAAAATAGGAACATTTATTATTGATTAATTACTTGACAAAACAGAAGGGATTTTGCATTTTAGAGGAACACACAAAGCTAACCGGAAAAAAGGGTGTTGGAGCATTCATGTTTCCTCCCTTTCTCTTTCCTCATGTATTGATAAAACTCCCCCGATTCTTCCAAAAGTCCCCCCCCCCCTGCTGTTCTCTCTCTGGGGGCCGGATTTATTTGACCATTTAGCTGCCCACCTCAAATGGCCAGGGGAAAGAGAAAGAAGGCGTGCTGCCAGGCTTTGTTCCTGCAGGGCAGCAGTGGGGGAGGGCGGTATGTGTCTTAAGACAGAGGTGGCAGATCATGACCTGTAGAGGTTTCGGGGACCTCTGATCCCTGCGGCCGATATCACAAAGGAGGCCTTATCCCACCTCCCCATCGTCCCTGTGAGGTCCGGCTCACCCTGTGACCTCCCAGAAAAACGCCACAGGAAAAGCCAGATAAAACACAGCAGGGAGAGGGAGGGAGACAAAGAGGGAAATTTGCATTAAGCCCAAAATTGGGGGTGGTAAAAGCTTACACCTTCAGTTCATGCCAAACAGCTGTATTTCAGTGCCTGGGTTTATTAGGGTAATGAAGAAACAGTGTCTACATTATTAAGTAAAATAGATTCTTGTTCAGGACCTAAAATACCCAAAAGCAATTTGCATGTTTTTAAAAATAGAATATCAAACATACCGAACTATTTATAAAATAAAAACTCTATCTAATCTATTGAGAGTATCATTTTAATTTACATCATACAATTTAAATGTATGATTATTAAAATAAAGTTAAGTTAATAACATTTCCGATAAACAAATATGTAATCAAGCCTAAAAAATCGTACCAAATGTGCAATGCCATTTTTTATTTCTTGACACTTTTCTCAATTTCTTTGACACTTTTCAAAACATTAATTAATAAATTATGAGCGTTATAGTGTCCCAAATGTAGTGCTTATAATTCCCACGATGCCCACTTTGAATATCAGGACTGAGTCTGGGTTAAATCAGCAGGAAGTAGCATCATTTTGTGCAGTGGGAAGTGACTTCCTACCCCTGTTTCCCTTTCCCTTCTAAAGTAGCCGCCAAACGTGAGAAAGGAACAAATTCGCAAAGCTGAGCAGGTGTTAGAGCATGGGCCTGCCAGGAAAGATGTCCCGTACAGTGTCCTCTGTTTTTAATGTTTCCTGGTCCTGTGCATCCTGTTTCTGGGTGTCATCTGTGTCTCACCAGAGTAATAAAACAGAGCAGGAGGTGGTGTGCCTTTAGACGTCCACCTTTCCTTTGTTACACTGCAGTGAGAGATAACGCTATCTTTGCTAATTTCCACATATTTTTCCAGTTTTTTTTAATGATTTTTCTGTTTGTGTGTATAACCGTACCAATATTACCCTCCCCTAACTCTAGCGATGTCACTATGTAATGGAAGTAAACAAAGGAGTACTATTAAGGGGTTTCAGGCAGGGGGGGTAGTGTGGAAGACCTTGGGATGTTAGCCCTTACAGACCATTTTCATTTCTATAACACACCACAGGAAAGGGAAAACCCCAAAAAGCATAATAGGGAACAATGCCGAGCTGAAACTACAATTTTTCAAGCGTGGACTACTAAAAATCTCATCTAGATACTTGGCCCTGTGACATGATGGTGTGGTTTCATTTGGGACTGATAAAGGTGGACATCAGTCATGATATAACTTCATAACCAAGGTGAAAATTGAAATAAAAAAAGGTAAACTGTAAGGAAACACTTGCTAACTCTCCTTCCATCATTGTGTTTTGTTTCGACAGCTAAGCATGGAGAAGGTCCAGGCCATGGCGGAGCAGGTGGAGATCAAAGCCAAGGTGGTGCAGACCGAAGTGAAGGCCCTCGTGCTCCGACACAAGAAAGCTTTAGAGGAGAGGGAGTGTGAACTACTGTGGAAGGTGAGCTGCTGCCCGCATCTTTATCAACGTCAACTCACTTGACCATATCATGCTAGTTTTCAGTTTCATATTCCTATGTTGCGCCTCTACTGTGACATGTTATTATGTTCAAAAAGCTCTTTATTTTTCTCATACTGCCTGTGCTGCAGAACCTCTGTTCACCCTCTGTCTCAAACCAGAGCCCTGTCTGCTCTGATTGGTTAGCTGGTCGGCTCTGATGTGATTGGTCAACCGCTTAGAGATGTCCCGCCCCTTAGCCTATCACGTACAATGTGTTTGAGCGCTAGCCAATAGAAGTGTTACATAGTGATGCCATTATGTTAGGGAAGCAGACAAAGGAGATGGGGGGTGTTTAGGAGAGAAATTCCCTCTGGAGGGACCAAAATCCCAAATATGGTCCCTTTTTGAATGTATTGTATATCCTTTGATACCCGCCTGGTACACACTGGTAGAGCCATCGTTAGGGAGAATAAAGGTGTGTGCTTTTAAGGCGCATGTTATGTTGATAATCTTGTTTGCTTATTAAAGTCATAAAGAGTATTCAATTGAGCAGGTTCATAACCAGTGAAGAACTCCTTGTAGTAGCTTAAGGTTAAACAGGAACCCTCTGAAGGCCCCCCAGATTTAAGGTTACCCAGAGAAGGAGCTGGGTTTTGGGTGAAAGAAACAACCCTCATCCCTGAGCCATGTTGTGCTACATGCATGCTATTATACCAGTCAAACACACAAAATCTGCGTCTATTAACTACAACTGAAAACGGGAAGTTAAATGTGCGTACATGTGTGAAATGTGTTGCTGTAGCCTTACAGAACATCACGGATGATTTATCCGAACACCCACCGGTCCACCCAACTCTTATTTCCCCTTTCCTCCTGAGAGCAGGCTCGGTGACATTGTAAAAACTGACTTGTGTATTTTCTCCCTCAGATCTTACAGCTCTCAAGTGTGCATGTGTGTGTGTGCAGGTCAGAGTGTCAGCGAGGAGGTTTTCACTTACCCGTGTTCCCTCTTTAATCCTTTATACACCACTACAGGACCCCTTATCCCTGCCCTGATAAAGTCATTACAGGCAACCAAAGCACCCTACACACACACACACACACACACACACACACACACACACACACACACACACACACACACACACACACACACACACACACACACACACACACACACACACAAATGTTATAAATATCAATAAGTAGATGTACAATATTTGTTTCTCTGAGTATTAAGGTGTGTGTGTGCACACGTGAGCTCTGCCGACTGCAGCTGCTACTACAACAACAAAGGGGCGGGGCTTAGCAAAGGGTCATTTTGTAAGAAGCAACAATCGATTAGTCATTAAATAATACATTTTGGCTAAACTAATAATTAATCATTCCCCCTCTAAAGGTAAATAAATTAACCTAATCATAGATGATATCGATCATTGCCAATATACGCTACAAAATCCTCAACTTGGGACTAAAAGAACAGAAATTCCTTAGAAATAAGTATCATCTGTGATACCTCAATAATACCGAGTTTGGTCATTTGAGCTGAGTAAGACTGCAGTGGTGGCATGCTATCACGTTCCTATGCTGTCATTGACTCAGGTGAATAAAGCTTGTAAGTTGAGCTGTCCTCTGCTGACTCAGACAAGATATTGGAAATGACTCGGCTAGTGTTTCCTGTACGGTGAGCCTGTGTGATGGCCACGGGCTCACAGTGGTGTCCGGAAAACAGAAACTAAATCTAGGAAGGCGCTCTGCAGTGACTCAGCTCTGTGGCTCTGCTCTAGAGTGATTCATGGCTGTGAGATGACAGCAAAAACAATAGTATAAAGTTACTCAGGGGTGAAATATTTGACTTGAAAGTGTGAGTCTGGGTGTGTCTTGTGTAGGTTGTGAATGTGTAGCACCGGCGTTGGCTAGCATGGTAAATGATAAGGTGTTATTACATCAAAGAGCAGTCCTTCTTGCTGTCTCTGGGGTTTTTCGCTCAGTACTTCTTTGAAATACATACCAACCTACCAATGAGTGTGTTCAACTCAAACTCCATGTCTGCCCATTAGACAGCCTAACTTGAGTCATTGTCCTGCGTGGCTATAAAGTGTAACTCGAGTCACACAGATGCAAATTGCAGTTCCACTTACGCCAAGGATTAACAAAAGAGCCCCTCTCTTTTGTTTCTTTCACAGTCCCTCCCCACTATCAGAAGTCCTTCTAGCCATAGAAGCAGTCAGGCTATTGTGTTTTACTCTTTTTGTTTGCTGACGTTAAGCAAGAGCCCAATCTGTGCTTCTCAGGTTCTGCCACCCTCTTTAATTCTTTGTTCTCACCGACTGTATCGTAACTCTACCTGGCTTCTAAAGGGAACAGAGATGTGTGGTGGTTTAGTGACAAGTTAATTTATTTTCTTCACCTTCGGTTGAATAAATCACTCCTGAACCACTTTTCATTTTGTGAGCTGCAGACCCTGGTATCTCTTTGTATAGTTGACTTTGTATGCTCATTGTTGTCCTATTGTCTTCTGTTGTATTGTTCAGACAGAAGCAACAAACCTGCATTAATCCCTTAAAACTGCTTAAGAAATACTAACTGTGATGCAAATTGGACTCACAGCTAACGATTTAGCACTTATAGAATATGCATTAGTATTACCCTTTTGTTTGAATGTATTACAAACATTTAAGATGTACCTATCTACAGTTGCAGTATTTCATTTTGTATGTTTGAATGAAAGGATTAAAAAGGATTTTCAATTGAGCTTCCCAACATAGATAACATCCATATTTCCTGTATCACAATCAGGGAGTCATGAATAGTAATGACACAGAATTACATATGATGTAGTAGTAAACAACCATACCAAGTCAAGCACATTTTGTCAATCACATTCATTTGTTAATTACCATGTAATGTACTATTTCTCGTCCATGCCCATTAACTTTAAGTAAACATTTAATAGTGTCTCTTGTAGATGCATCTCTGCTACTTCAAGTCACTTCACTTAACCTGCATTGTACCAGACTTTAGACACACTGATGCCCAGTCAAAAAATTGTATGCATGCAACTAGTAGCATATCAGCCAAATATTCTTCTTCTCCTTCCTGAATATCTGAGAGACTTGGCATGGTCAGCACATTGCTGCCACCCTGTGGGCACACTGGGTTTAGATTACCAGGAGACTTGTTTAATTCCACTTTCAATCTTATGTTTAAAATGACATAGTCGTGTGTTATATCGGGGTATCTTTTAATGAAGTTTACCAGTATGACACACACACACACACACACACACACACACACACACACACACACACACACACACACACACACACACACACACACACACACACACACACTTGTATAGAGTGCATATAGTGGCATCACTTCAGGAACAGACAAACCTGAAAATACATAAATGTGTAATTTTGTAATATAATAATTAGGGCCGGGACTTTAACGCGTTAATTAAGATGAATTAATTACACAAAAATTAACGCATTTTAATCGCACTTATTTTTGCACCGCGGAACGTTTCTCACTGGATGAGTTTCAGGCGTACCGATTATACTGGAGCACCAACTAACGTTCATGACTTCAGACAACAACAAACCACAGTGAACAACAGTGGGAAATGTTGTTTTAAAAAACGGACGGATGGAAGCGTTGATAAGAGCACGGTTGTGTGCAAATTATGCAAAAATGAATTCGCATATCACCGCAGCACATCAAGCCTCAAGTATCACCTCAATGCAAAAACATATAGCAGCTAGCGTGGACGTTAGCCTCTTTTATCGCGTTCACACCATACAGTCTATGGTTCACACCAAAAAGAGCCGGTACTAAAATTAGTTCATGAGAACCTTTTTACCCCCACGAAAGTCCCTGCTAGAGAGCAGAGAGCAGGGACTTTCGTACGGCTCTCTTGTGAGAAAAGAGCTATATTTCTGATTGGCTGGGCGGATTGCAAACCACGCCCCGTAAAACTCCCAAAAAGTTTGGTGAAGCCGCCATTTTATTATCCTCGCATTAGCATTATTAGCATTAGCATTAGCCCAGCGCAGAAACGCAGAGAGACTAACTTATGGCAACACAAAATAAAACATGGGAGCGGTGGAGATGAGGAGGTGTCGGCGTTCTGGCGATTTACTCGGAAGGCTTCAGTAGAAGCTGCTGGGACTCCCAGCAGCTTCTACTGAAGCCAGTCCCCAACTCCGGGGACTTCCGGCCGGGGACTTTGGGCGGCAGTATACGCCGTGAAGTGGTTTGCGGCCTGCCAGTAAACCCAAAGCAGAAGAAGAAGAAGTGACGTCAGCGGCTTCATTTGTTCTCATGAACTAAGTTCTCATGAACCTTTGTGGGAAAAGTACTGCGGTGTGAATGCGCCTAATGGTATACTAAAATCCATGTGAAAAAAATTGCTTCTCACTGTTCTCAGGTTAAATATTTATATGCGATTAAAAATGCGATTAATTTCGATTAATTAATTACAAAGCCTCTAATTAATTAGATTAATTTTTTTAATCGAGTCCCGGCCCTAATAATAATGCAAAAATAGTTTGTGTTTTAGTTGCCTAATGTTATCTGTGCTGATTTAAATATATCATGCAAGATATAACCTTATAATTTCCTGCATCAATAGAGTGTTTTTGTCGTGTGCTTTATATGCTTTTTGAACAATAAAAACCCCTTTTTAGAGATTGTTAACGTTCTAGTTCCTGGTTCTGTCTCCTCTCAGGTGGAGAAGATCCGTCAGGTGAAGGCCAAGTCTCTGTACCTGCAGGTGGAGAAACTGCACCAGAGTCTGACCAAGTTGGACAGCACCATCGCCGCCGTCAGCCAGGTGTTGGACGAGGGCCGCCACCTGGACGTCCTGCTGGCCCGAGAGCGAATGCTCACTCAGATCCACGAGCTGAAAGCTCTGCGGGGTCTGCTGCAGGCGCAGGAGGACGATCGCTTCATGTTCACTCCTCCAGACCAGGTAGCTCATCTCCTGTAAAATAAAGTACAACATAACATGACAACATCCTCTGAAAGATGACTAAAATAGAAATGAGGTTTTAAAGGTCCCATGTCATGCTTTTCCGGTTATTACCCGTCCCCTTGTGTGTTATGAAGGTTTTTAAGCATGTAAGCGGTCTGCGAGTCACTAACCCTCAAAGTACACCCTGTAGCGAGTAAAACTCTAACACAGAAAATACCTGTCTATGCTGCCCCAGAACGCCTCGTTGGAGATTTCTTGTTTTCTTCCTGGGTACAGTGACGTGCCCATATCCAAATGGACCCATTGGTCCAAATGGACCAAACCGTGGAGCCGTTAAGTTACGTCCGCAGAGCCGTTAGGTTAAGTCCGTGGATTGGTCAATTTGGACCAATCCACGGACTTCCTCACACACACACTCAATTTTTCTCAGCTGCAGCTCTGCCGATTTCTGAGTTTCTGAGTTTGTGTGTGAGCACACACACTGACTCACAGCCAGGCTGCAGGTGTGTGTGTGTGTGTGTGTTCGGGCTGGGTTTCGCTGTGTCTCGCAGACCGCCACTGGGCTCACAGGGAGGGGGGGGCAGGAGCTCCAACAAGGCGTGACAGAGAGTGAATACACATACGAGGTGCTGTCTGAGAAACCAATGTGAGTTTGGAAAATTGCACAATATAAATCTATTTTAGTTTACCTCAACAACGGAATTATGATCAGTAGAAATGGCCATGACATGGGACCTTTAAAGAAAAGCAACACTAAAACAATTATGTAGAAACCAAATCCTGAATGGTTATGAGCAGGAGCTGTGAACTCATGCTTGCTATTTCTTGTCGTTGTAAAAGTCATTTGTTTTTGTACAAATAAATGATTTGTTTAAAACAATGAATCAAATATAACAGATGACGATGACCTAAACTTTTTTCATGAACAATGTACGCTAGAGGGGATAGGACCAGAAACGATTTTAAGCTTCTTCTTTCCCCTTTTGAACATGACGGAAACTATTTGAGAATAATACCTTGACATTTTTTTTATTTGCTTCTTTGTTAAAATAATAATTATTGTTTGTTTTGTTTCTAACATGTTCAATAAAAAGACTAATACAAAACACTGATTGGAGGAGAGGGGCTATGGCTGTTTAACCTTGTGGATTATTTAAATGAATTCTGTTAAGAGCGTAAATCTTTAAAACACACTAATGTTTTCCGTCACGCTTCCCACAGGCTCTGTACATAGCCGTCCAGTCGATGGGTCTGATCAGCAGCGGAGCCTTCGCCCCCGTCACCAAAGCCCACGGCGAGGGTCTAAAAACTGCCCTTCGTGGCAAACCCTCCTCCTTCACTGTGATTGGATACGACCATGACGGCGAGCCTCGTCTCTCCGGCGGCGACACGGTGTCAGCGATCATCATGTCGGTCCCGGACGGTCACCTGACGGCCGTGGAGGTCACGGATCACCAGAACGGCTCGTACACCGTGGGCTACCTGCCCAAGAGTGAGGGGGAGCACCTGCTGTCGGTGCTGGTGTGTAACCAGCACATCCAGGGCAGCCCCTTCAAGGTGCTGGTGAAGTCGGGGCGCAGCTACGGAGCCCTGGGCTCACAGGTGGCAGCGTTTGGGAACGAGGGGGAGGGGGACGGCCAGCTGTGTCGCCCCTGGGGCATCAGCGTGGACAAGGAGGGATACGTGGTGGTGGCCGACCGGAGCAACAACCGCGTACAGGTAGAGACTTCTGCCTGCTCTTTTTAACACGTACATCTGGTTAGTTCATTTACATTATTTTATTCCACTGTATGGTTTTTAATTTTTCATTCTGTTTTATCTTATTCTTTACTACTTTTACATAGTTTACTTGTCTCTGGATTTACATTTTTATTGCACTGTTTTTCTCACTGTTTTTCTTTCTTATTGCTTCATGTCTAAAGTATATGGTATGTTGCGTTGAAGAAGTATCCCTGGACCTAAGATTCTGATAGCCAAACACTACGCTTTAGCTTTTCTGCATACGACAAAAACACTTTTGAAATGCTTTTTTAAATTTGGATCTTCAATCACACTATCACAAGAATGTTTGTTATGAATCTTCACTATCCCTGGCCAGTTCAATGTAGGTAAAGCAATTTATAAAGAGGGCTTTATTTTTTGCTCCAAACTCTATAAAAAGTCTTAATCCTTAATACTTTTTAATTGATCGACTTATTTTGTGAACAGATGCACTTTGCCTCGAATACAAACTCATGTTTATGCATAAAGTATAGGTCAATCACAACAAAGACAACATTTATTAAATTAAATGAAAAGAAACACATTTTTTTTAAGTCAAATGAAAGCAACAAAAAAGCATTGATATGCAGAGAGGTCTAAGATATGTTCTCACTATGTCTTCCATTTGCTACCCATTGCAGCAATTCTCATTTCAATAACGGTGGTACAAACAGAGGGGATGATGTCATGAATATACATTCATACACACATAACCAATTATTCCCTTGTCCATGTATATACATACACACTTCCTTTTGTCTGTAATTCTACCCTTTGTTTCAGTCTGTCTCGACTAAACACCACAGCGATCTGGACTTAAATTGAATTTAGAGTGGTTATAAGTAATGTACCATCCACTCAGCATTCACTCAGCAGTTCATGCTAACTTCACACTGTTGATTTTTGTGCCAAGTGGCTTACATAGTGGAGAGTCTGCAAAACAAACTTTGTGTTTGAGTGTTGAAAAGTGCATTTGGCTTCCATTCTTCCCTACACACACACACACACGCACACACACACACACACACACACACACACGCACGCGCGCGCGCGCGCGCACACACACACACACACGCACACGCACACGCACACGCACACGCACACACACACACACACACACTTAATAGAACAAATGGTGACCCTCCAGTTGAGAACCACTGCATTAGAATACATTTTGTAGAAACTGCACAAACACAGCTGAGTTTGACCCTTTCTCTTAAACAATTAGAGCGTTCATTGAATTGGAATCAACATTTTTGTTTCTTCGCTCTCCAGATATTCAAGCCCTGCGGTGCCTTCCACCATAAGTTTGGCTCTCTGGGTTCCCGTCCGGGACAGTTTGACCGTCCGGCCGGGGTTGCATGTGACAGTCAGAGACGAATCATTGTGGCTGATAAGGACAATCACCGAGTGCAGGTAGGAAATGTTTAGGTGCTAAATTAGCTGGCATTCCACATGTGAATTGGAAGTCCATAAGACATTGGAGAATAAATGTTATTGTAAAAAAACATGTTAAGCTTCTAAAAACCTTTTTAAAGCCGTGTAAACACACAGCTCTACATGCTTATTCTCTCTCCTGCAGATATAAACACGTTGGACTCTAACACATTTGCTTTGTCTTACAGGTGTTTACTTTTGAGGGCCAGTTCCTGCTGAAGTTTGGGGAAAAGGGTACCAAGAACGGGCAGTTCAACTATCCCTGGGATGTGGCTGTCAACTCTGAGGGTAAGATCCTGGTCTCGGACACCAGGAACCACCGCGTGCAGCTCTTCGGCCCCGACGGCTCCTTCCTCAACAAGTACGGCTTCGAGGGGGCCCTGTGGAAACACTTTGACTCTCCCAGGGGCGTGGCCTTTAACCACGAAGACCACCTGGTGGTGACCGACTTCAACAACCACAGGCTGCTGGTCATCCGGCCGGACTGCCAGTCGGCTCGCTTCCTGGGCTCCGAGGGCACCGGGAACGGGCAGTTTCTGCGGCCCCAGGGCGTCGCCGTGGACCACGAGAACCGCATCATCGTGGCCGACTCCCGCAACCACCGGGTCCAAGTGTTCGAGCCCAACGGGAACTTCTTATGCAAATTTGGCACACAGGGGAATGGCTTCGGACAGATGGACCGCCCCTCCGGTGTGGCTGTGACGCCCGAAGGAGTCATCGTGGTCGTTGACTTTGGAAATAATCGCATCCTCAAGTTTTAAGATTTATTTTTTTGCATTCTCCGCCTCCGTTTGCAGTTTTCTTGATGAAGGAAATGGAGGCGAGAGAATGAATCAACAGACACAACAGGAGGCGGGCGCAGAGAGGGTTGAGAGCAAGCTGCAGTGAAGGGAAATTAAAACTATAGATTTTTTTTCATGTGTATTGATATATATTTTCCAATCAGATATCTTTGGTATGTATGACAAAGGGGACCTCTACAAATTGATAATCAGTAGAAAAAGCCATATTTCCATTCCCCGGTCTCAGCTGCTCTGAACCCTCTCTGTGAGCTCCTCTTTAGTATCCATCTCAGGGATTTTTTCACTTTTCTCGAAATCTTGTACCCTCTGCTCCACACCTACCTCATTTAGCTCTTTATGAATGTACTCATAGTCACTGAGCAGAGGTTTAAAGTCCGTGAAGTTTTACAAAGAAGAAAAGCCTACCTCTATACTTTGTTATTTAAGAAAGACACAAAAAGAATAGACTGTTCAGTTGATATTTGCACAGGATTAAAGACATTCTTGCTGTGCATTTCGAAATATGAGTTAAAGTGAACCTCCTGAATGTTGTTGCTGAGACAATACTCAGACCGCTGTCGAGGCTACATGATTTATTCTCATTCGAGGGCTTCTCTCGGAGAGGGATTTAGTGTCCTTTTTTAATGTTTGTTTCCGAGTGGTTAGTTTTTTGCTTATGCATCGACCCTTGTCTCTTTGTTGCTCTGCGGAGTTCGTCATGATCGCCTAAGAGGAGAGCGCGAAGCGATGCCAAAATAGAAAGAATCTAATTTAGCTCAGGTCACGTAGGACTGATTGAAATGATCAGACTCCCCCTCTAGTTTTACTGGCTGAGTGAATCTATTGAGAATTAAAAATATATAAAGTCATCTCCAAAACGATCCCTAAAATAAATCCTGTTATAAAATATGATCATCCAATACTCCCCTTCCCCAACCGTGTCTCATAAGACTGGAAGAATTATTGTCAAGACAACCTCAGTCGTTATTCTCCAGTCAGATGCATAAATGCAAACTAAAGTATGCAGTATCGAAAAGGGAGCACACCAAAGGCCTTTGGTGATGAATTTTGTTTCCAAGATCCGGATCTATTAGCGATCTTAACATAGAGATTTAATCATTTAATTGAATGACTCCTTTTTCATGAGGCATGCTGTGTGACAAAAGCCTCACAAGTAGACACCTGATTTGGCTGTCCAGACGACGTTAATGACATCAAATTTAAGGCCTGACATTTACAATCCTTTTGATTTGGATGGTGGTTGAAAGCCACCGTCTGTGGCTCCTTGGGGCCCGGGATTTAGTCGAATGATAGGGCGCGATCAGGAAGCCCTGCCCTATTTATTGATGTTGGAGTTGAGGAGAAACCTCCAGATTGAGCGTCAGTAGACCGATTCCTCTAAAGATGGAGGTCTATAGACTACTGGAGTTAACCAAAGTTAGATTTTCTGTACAATGGCCAACTGTAGATTTGGCGATTTTTAAAAAAAAAAAAAAAAAAATCCCCTTTAAAAACATTTTCTTAAATAATCATTGTTGCTGGGAAGTCTCGAGTTCATAAAGGGCCTGGAGTTGAGGTCATAGCGTTGTCCATGTAAGGCTTAGAAGAACAAAGTGCACGTGAGTTTATCATGCACGTGCACTTTGACTTCCCGCTATGACCTGCAGTTGTTTGATCCAGGATGTGACAGGAGATTTCTGCAGATGTTCGTGGTGTAGAGAACAGAAGATACCCGCACCAAAGATAACCCCCTTTCCCTCCCCCGCATTTATCGCCTCAATCAAACCTCGCCCATCTTTGGTCCTTTTTAGACGGCCCGTAGACTCAGAATAGCATCTCAGATCTGTACCTCAATAGAAACTAATCGCTACTAACTCTTGCAGGGTTTTAAATCCCCTTGCCCTTTTTGTTTGATCCGTGTCCCACTGGAAGCACTAGACAATTATTCGGTTTTGTTAGCCACTTCTTTAGCCTAGCGACGAATTTTGGGACCTTTTGAAAAGAATGACCGACGGGCGCTCCCCTCAGAGGAGAGGATTTACGCCGTCATATCTCAGATATCTTGTACCTCAATGGTTGTTTTACCTCATTTTTCTCGTATATATACCTCAACTCCTGAATACCTCAAGTGTGTCACTCATAGCTACTGTGCATTTAAACATTTAAATACCTCAACTTGTTACACATACCACGTTTTTACTCTTATATTTAAGCATACCTCGTCTGATTTGTATGCATTACAGATATACCTCATTCTTTGAATCTTCTTGTGTTACAGTGCAGTACATGTCCCATAGCTCTTGGACCAAAGATCATGGTTTTGTTGAAACAGAGAAAAATTGTATTATGGTCATCGCTCCATCCTGCAACCCTGAGCAGCTTTTTGGTTTGTCTAATCTACTGTAAAATGCCTGGTGAACTATGCCTTTTATCATCAAGAAACCAAATATTTCAGATGAAAGCATCGTGCCAAAATGATCTGTGAGAGTTCAGTGCCAAACGGAGTTGGCATTGGGACCAGAAGTTGTAGACGACAAGTGTCACTGGACCGTTACATCACAGATACACATGTGGAATCATGAGAGCACCTGGGGATAAATCCTCGCTCTCTGATTGGATGCACTTAAGAGGGCTGGGCCCAATTTACCTCAAAATGATGATGAACATGTGGATTACACTTTGGTGAGGGCAAGAGGATGTGGCCTCTTCTAAAGAGTTGATAACTTCACAAATCCACCTTTGAACGCACAAGAATTACCTCAATTTTCAGCACAATTTACAAATATTTCAGTGTGGATTTTGCGGTTTAAACGAACGCATCATAGGAATATGCCTAAGGCATTACAACAGCCTGGTTTATTATTAAAGTGGAGCTATTAGCACATTGATGGCGAGCCAGTTTGATTCCACAGACCCAGCTACTTTGAACTCAACACTAGTTTCACCAGTAAGATTGTTTTTTGCTTTTAAGTATTAACTCTGTGAAAATGTTCATTCATGTTGCATCAGTTTTTTTTTAATTGCTGAATTCTATCTTTAAGATCCTTAGGGCTACACTCTTAAAGAGGAAACAAATGTATTTTAAAACGTAAATATGTTTTTCATTTTTTTGTTGCATGCTTTAAAAAGTCCTTATATTGTATTATATTGATAGGTGTTGAAAAAAAACTCAGATGGGGTGGGGTAGCCGACTATTGGGATGGTTTTTACCAAAATATATACCCAAAGATGTGTATGTGTGTGTTTAGGGTTGCGTTGGATGGGATTAACCTTTGACCTTTGCGATTGTATTTCCTGTTCTCAAGAGGCTCTGCAGAGCACAACCTGTTGGGCCAGGCGAGCCTCAAGCCCTGAAAACAAAAGAGGCCGTTTTCAGATTAAAAAGCAGAAGGCAGCTGCGTCCTTCCACCATTAGTGCTTAATTTACTTTAACTCCCTTTAGTCTGAATATTAGACATATTAACATATTGTCCTTCTGTAGATGTACCTCCCCAAATACGATGAATCCACAAGGTGGCCGTTTTGTGTTTGACCTAGTAATGGGAACTCGCTCGCTGTCATGTGAGAAGCAGCTAGCTTTCTGCAGCACAAACTAGCAATCAGCTTCCTTCCTCGTCTTTATAAGAACCCAGGAAGTGCGGCGACGGCTGCTCAGCACGTGATCGGTTGACTGCACTCCTGTTCGGTGTTTTATTTTATTTTATTATTGGGCCCCTGTGGTTTTTGTCCACCATTTTTATTGCTGGCCTCTCACGGCTGTAACGGCCCGTCCACACAGCGGCGTTGGAAGCTTCTTCCACGCTTCTGCCCATTCACTTTCAATGGGGTGACGTCACTTTTCGCCAAACTGCATTGTGGGAAGCAGAGCGGAGCTTTCCTGGCGTTTCAGGCTGCAAAAGTTGAGCAATGTTCAACTTTTGAAGCCTCGGCAGAAGCGTCAGCCAATCGAATCATAAACCAGTACAAGCTCTAGCCAATCAAACCGCTGCTTGTGTGTCAGGGGCGGGAGATTCATGGTTGTTGGTCAAGCTTCAGGCACGCCCACCTCCAAGCTTTTTCCAAAGCCGCTGTGTGGACAAAGAGTGTAAGAGAGAAAAAGAAAAGCTGCACCAGGTGACATGTGCAAGGTCGTAGACCCTCTTTTAATGATTGGATACTCTAAACACAGAAAGACAAAAAAAATGTTGGAAAATTTAGAAAGAAAAAAAAAAAAAAACTCAGGTAGTTCTCAACAGCCCTGCCCTGCAGGTGTCTCATTGAAACGTGTCCCGTAGTGATGATGTAGTATCCCCCTCCCCCTCCCCCTCCCCCTCCCCCTCCCCCTCCCCCTCCCCCTCCCCCTCCCCCTCCCCCTCCCCCTCCCCCTCCTCTCCTTATGACCTCTCAGTACTAGTCTGATTCTTTTGTGTGCTCCATTTACATATTATAAAACTAATTATTTCTAAATCACTTTCGATTAGCTCCCCCTGATTAATCTTTGGGTTGGTTTTTTGCCAATTTTTCTTTTACTAAAAGTACAAACGCTCTCCACCACCTGACGTCCGTTGGCCCTTTTAGAATGTATTTTGTGAAGAAAAGGGTTAAACGCCGTCTTGTTGATGCTTGCTCCCCACAACCGGCTGCCGGTCGCAGAACAAGACACAACGCAGAGTTTTCTATTCAGTGATAAATGTTCCACACCAGCAATACCTCGAGTGAGAGGTGGGATCATGTGTGTGTGGTGGAAACATGCAGCACCTCGTTCTGAACCAGCTTTACGACAGCCTTACCCCGATGGGAGGCCTGAGAGTCTGACAGCCAGCTAATCGTGTCCAAAAATCTTGTTTGCGTTGTGTCCTGTTCTCCCGGCTGTTGGGTGTGTGTGAGTGTGTGTTGTGTTTGTGCGCTGCATCCATGTTGTGTAAGCAGAAATCCACTGAATGTATCCTCCAACAGTCCAAGAGGCAGGGCGGGCCGGGGTGGTCCGCTGAGTTTAGATGGTTGCTGCTGGCGCTTCCTCATGCAGGTGTGTGTGTGTGTGTGTGTGTGTGTGTGTGTGTGTGTGTGTGTGTGTGTGTGTGTGTGTGTGTGTATGTGTATGTGTATGTGTATGTGTATGTGTGTGTGTGTGTGTGTGTGTGTGTGTGTTTATCAGTCTCACCTTTCCTCCCTCTTTTACACACACACTCACACTGCTAAGTTTAAGTGCAGATGTTAGGTTTTCAGTCTAAATAAAGTAAAGGAGACTATAATATATTGGCCACCTGCCGCTCTCTCTGTACTCTGTGGACTTTAAACATTTCCTATGCATTTTTTGGTTTACACTTTAAATAAAGTTGTATTTCTTTGACTTCTGTCTTTTTTTTCTCTTAAACTAAACGAACACTATCTATTTATTCTTGTGACCATTTATCTTAGATGAAGCACAGAATATGGTATTATAGTGACTGTATTTTATTTTATCTATTGTATTTAGAAATCTCAGTTATTACCAATTTGTTATGTTTTAAATAATTGACAATGTACTGTTCTGAAAAAAGGAAAAACTATGTCTGAAATAATAATAGATAGTAAATAAAAGATACAAATTAAAATGTAATAGTACATACAGTTTTATATATTCTTAGAGATAGAGATCTGGTATTTAACCGTTTTAAGATGAATTATTTTATTAAATTGAAGCCACTTTTCAAAAGCCCTTAGGGTAGCTTTAGATATTATACAGATGCATAATGCATTATATATTGATCTGGTGTTTTCCCCACGTTAATATATAATCTTCTAATCCCATAAACATCCCAAGCTACGTATGAGGCCTCTTTTCAACATTGTCACATTCAATCAGTGTAATTTTCAACAATAACAGAAAATGTTTTCCACAGTCTGCATGTGTGTCTCCGGAAGTCGGCTTTTACTTTCAAACACCACCTGCCTCTAGAAATCACGAGGGTGTGTTCATCCATGTCAACTTTCCTTGCTTGGGTCCTTGAATTTGAGTGATTTGGACCTGGAAAAGTGATGTTTAAGAAGGTTTGAACCACTCCAGACAAGAGGGAGCAACTATCTTTTTCCATCCCCTGAATAAATGGTTTAAGGATTTAAAATGCAAGCTTAAAACAAATCTAAACCTGATAACATCTATATTATTATATTCTGGATTTACAATATATTAAAAAAAATGTAAAGCAAATATTTGATTACAATTTTGCATTTACGACATGTTACGTCCTCTTGGTTTTATGTAAGACTTTTAAAAGACTAAACAAAAACACATGACCTTATGTACATACTGCATTTAATACACAGACAAGTGCATCATGGGCTCTCATCCCCCCCTAGTGGAAAAAACAAGAAGAGAACATTGGTTTTCCTCTTTGCTTCTGTCCGAGAGGTCAGAGGTCAAATTAAAACTGTGAGTAGCAATTCAATAAAAGTAGGGGACCACATAAAATAGTGATGGTAAATATCTGGAATCAATTAATTACTTTAAGTTCATTTGATAATGATGGCTGATATTATCACAATAAACATATTTCCTTTTGACAGGAAAAGCACAGGTGGGTGATTACTTTTATAAATCATGTACTTTCCCCATTATGACATGTCAAGGGTAATGTGAAAAATGTAAAGAAACGGGTTTCTGTTGCGTATCACAACAATGATCTGTCTTTACCATGGGAGCCTGCCTGCAGACCTCCACTCTCAGGACAGTTCCGGTGCAGACCTCCACTCTCAGGACACCTCCACCATAGATATGACCTCCACTGTCAGTACAGGAAGTGACGATTCTGACGCGTATTTCCCCGCCCACCGAAGGACTCATTTGATGGAAGTTTTCAAATCACAATGGAGACTCATCACGGAGGTGATGAGTCCGCCCACCGTGCACTTTGGGTCGGCCTTGGTCATGCCCTTTTGACCCCCCCCCCCCCCCCCCCCCCGCCCGCTCAAATGACACCATGGAGGAATGTAACGGGAGTTGACCCAGGGGACTCTGCCCGCCTCACGAGTGCCTATTTTCGGACACTTTTTTTCACTTTTCCCGGGTTTTATTTATTTTTGGCTATTTCACCCGGTTTCTAGGGGACATTGCCCGGTCTCGGGTGTCCCCCCACGGCCTGTGTCTTCCTGGGGGCTTGGTCGGCTGCCCTTAAAGGCAATGTGAGCGTCCATTCCCATTGGATAACGGAGAATTGTACCCCCGGAAGAAAGTATTCCCCTTACTGTCGATTGATTTTACAGTGATATCTGCACTACTCATCGACTAAAAAACACCAGATTATCCTTGTTAATTACACAACATTGATTGGTTTAAATTGTGTGCAATGCTTTTGTATTTTTCCCCTTCGATTCGGAGAAACAAATATTTTTTCGGAGTAAAGGATGGCAGAAGACACTACACTACCCAGAATCCCCAGCTCTCGTTTAGGACTACACCATGTGCTCTGTTTGACAAACCCCGTTTTTTTCACCATTCATTCCAATGGCTGGCCTCTATGTCACGTGATCTTCAAATTTCTCCCTGCAGAAGAAAAAAACATGGCCGAACTTCGTTTTATTCTCGGTGGAAAATGCCTATTTTAAAGTTAGTTTGGCCATTAAAATGCGTTTTGATGTCATTTGATGCGAGAAATATGAGTTGTTATTTCAGATTATGTGTGCAGTGGATGTACATGATCTTTAGTTTGCTAGTTATTATGAAGATTACTTTAGGAAATTGCGTCCAGAGAACGTTCACATTTATTGCAACCCCCTTCCCCGTCAATGTATAGTGTTGGTCCACAGCGCAAACGTATTAGTTTAACAAAATCCGCATCTAAAGATACGTTATTTCCCCCTGTGCAATTCCAGTCTCACATCTCACAGCACATCGTCATTAACAAATACCGGAAACAGACCGAAAACATTTTTAAGGTTTATTGACATATCATATTCACAAACGGTGTAGTTATGCATTGAATGAAAAACTTGGGTCGCAGGTTCCTCAATAGTGCATTACAAGACATCTATCAATAGGCTTGTTTGAGACAAGCAAGACCTGCGCAGACGCGATCAACGTCTTGCTAGTGCGTTGCATGATGGTTAGTCATTTTGTCCGACTTGCTCTGGAGGCCCGCCCACATGAGACTTTGAAATTTCGCGGGACAAAGACGCCCGCAGCCTTGAGAGCGAGGCGAGGCGAGTTGGCGCAGTTGCTCTCCACGGGCTGCGGAAGCGAAATGCTTGATGGGAAACGGCTCGCTGGTATCTCGAGCTGAGCGCTCATTGGTGGTTTTTACCACGTGCTGCTGATGAAACTCTCCAATTGGCTGGCAAAAGTTTGTTGTTGTTTTGTGTCAGTTTTACGTCGCCACATCCATTCCCATTTTTCATCATTGTTCCACAATGTTTATCATCATGAAATTAATATCTATATATTTTATACTATACTGCTTACCGTTTTCATACTTTATATATCTTAGCATATTCATTCACACTGTTCATACTGCTCTCAGGCTGATATCTAGTGTATTCATACCCCACTGTTTATTCATCATTCAATTCATTCTATATGTTATTCTGTAGATTGTGTACATTACTTTCCACTTCACTGCTTGTTGCACCTGGTTAGAAGCTAAACTGCATTTCGTTGTCTCAGTACCTGTAATATGTGCAATAACAATAAAGTTTCTCTTTAAGTTAAACCAAATCATTAAAATAAAATCTAATGTAATGATTTGGTTTAACCTTATTTATTGAATACATCATTTAAAATGGCAAGATTAAATCAAATTACATCCATGTTGTACACATCATAAAGCTTAAAGTGGCAGCTAAAGAATTAACACAGCAGCAGGTCTGTTCAATTCATGCTCATTAAGCTTCACGTGTGCGGATCTGAAGGGACTGATCATTTGTAGCCTGTCCACCTATTAGTTTTGCAAACATTAAGAGGGAGGAGCATTTCTAATTATGGAACCCAGTCACTGGTGTGGTTCATCATCATGACTGAATTAACAAAGCTATATAAAGCAATGGAGATCACCTTTGTCTACAGTGGGTAAAATGGAATTTTTGCTGCTTACACTGTGTGACGAACAGGGAGACATCACTGTAAGAGTCTCACAAGACATTTCCCAAAGACTACAAAATGGTGAGTAAACAACTAAATTGCATTCCAACAATCTGGATATGATTTTAAATGATGTAAATTATTTTTCAGATAACAGTTTAGCAGCTGCACTTATGCAGCAAGCAAGGGCTGCAACAAATGCACAAGGTAATCTATCATTTAAATCAAAAATGGTATTGTCTTTTAATGCAAATCAAACAAATGACATATTCATGTTTATTGTAAACAAATATTTAATTTTCTCTCAATCACAGTCCCTTTAGATCTGTCTTCAGATGCTAGGCCTGCTCCTGAAAGGCCTGCTCCTGATGAAAGACCTGCTCCTGACGAAAGGCCTGCTCCTGATGAAAGACCTGCTCCTGACGAAAGGCCTGCTCCTGATGAAAGACCTGCTCCTGACGAAAGGCCTGCTCCTGATGAAAGGCCTGCTCCTGTAAGGCCTGCTCCTGTAAGGCCTGCTAGATCCCAAGCTGGCACTCCTCACCTGGCATCCCCCTCCAGCCGGTCAGAACACCTTGAGGCAACACAAGGTACAGTAACTAAAATGAGGATCTAAACAGCAAATGCTATTTGTTTGAGTTACTAACACTTGTGTCTTAACAGATTTCACACACAACACCATACTGCTGCTTTTGGACCTGACAAAAACACACCAACAGGTGTACTATCACTCCAAACCCGGTTTTTACAAAATTCTACAACGGCAGTTCAGCAAGGAGGGATACAGTTTCTCCTCAGACAAAATCCGGAAAAAACTGAACAACCTTTTGACCACCTACAAAAGGGCCAAGGACCGTTGTACCTCAACAGGAGAGGGGAACATAACGTGGGAATATTATGGGTTAAGAAGTTTGTTCTTGCACATCTAGTTGGTAAAAGCAAAATTTCCATTTGAACAATTCTGCAATTCCACAGATAATGGACAACCTGTTTGGGAGGTGCGGTGTTGGGAGCGCACCTCCAGGCACTCTTGTTTCCACCCCTCTATTACCCACTGCCTCACAACCATCCACCACACTGCCGTGTGCCTCTGAGGCCCAGCCTGGTCCCGCCATGACCCTGCCCACCACACTGCCGTGTGCCTCTGAGGCCCAGCCTGGTCCCTCCATGACCCTGCCCACCACACTGCCGTGTGCCTCTGAGGGCCAGCCTGGTCCCTCCATGACCCTGCCCACCACTCAGCCGAGATCAATCCGGTCTCGAGTCTCCCATCCCTCCTTCTACGACCTGTATGAGGCCCACTCGGAGAGGAGGACCAGTGCACTGGAGACACTGGTGCAGCCAGAACAGGAGCGCCGGAGAAGGCTGAAGGAGAGAAATAGGAGGAGGTTTGAAGCTAAAATGTTGACTGCGATGGGAGAAGTTGTTTCCCAGTTAAAGTTCATTGGGAGCCAACAAGAGCGCATCATTGAGCTTTTGCAGGACAAGCCCAATATGCCATAATTTCCCCCACACTGGGTATTCCCTGAATTAATTTGTTTATAAAGAACACCACCTCAGTTTGTTTATGGAAGTAATATTGTTTAGATTAGTTATTTATTTTCCTCGTTATGCAGTTGAGTTATTATTTCATCCCTGGCAATTGCCTTGTAATATTTGTATTTGTATACACTAAGTGTTCACAATGTTTATATGCAATTATTATTTATTTGCCAAGTACATGTGTACATATGTATATATAGTTATTTCATTTTCAAAGAAGATAGTCAACTGCTATTGACATGTGCAGAAAATGACCATATCTAGTTTTCATATACCGTATATGCATTTATTTTTTACTTGCCCAATCATTTTGGATGACATTACATGTTACTTGTTAGGCGCTTTAATCCAAAGCGACTTACATACTCAATACTGTGGGCATAAAAGGAAAGGAAATAAAAAACAAATGTCTTCCACAAAGAATATGACAGTGGTTATTTGTATGTGTGTGTGTGTGTGTGTGTGTGTGTGTGTGTGTGTGTGTGTGTGTGTGTGTGTGTGTGTGTGTGTGTGTGTGTGTGTGTGTGTGTGTGTGTGTGTGTGTGTGTGTGTGTGTGTGTGTGTGTGTGTGTGTGTGTGTGTGTGTGTGTGTGTGAGCTCTTTAAAAAAGGTCACAAATCTGATTTCTGTGCAACACTGCATCTTGGTTCTGGGGATGCGGTGCCCTGTTATCTGCTGCTTCAACCTGCTCATCAACTTAAATTGCTTCCCCTTCCTCCAAGCACATGTTGTGAAGTATGCAACAGGCAGTGACTGCTGTGCTAATGTTTGCAATGTTTTTCATGTACAAACATTTGAGCCTCCTGAACTTCGTTTTCAGTAGGCCAAAGGTATGCTCAATGACCACGCGTGCAACATTTAATTTTTGATTGAAACGACGCTGCCGAGCAGTTAAATGGCCATTGTCCCTGTATGGCCTCATAAGCTGAGGCAATAGTGGGTAGGCAGAGTCCCCAATGATGTGCATTCCCTCAGGCACCAGGGACTGGGGATCTTCATCAAGCAGCCTTCCAACAGCAGACAACCGGAATGCCGGTGCATCATGCCAGCTACCAGGGTGGCCCACATTAACATGACAGAATCTCCGTTTACTGTCACAGAACCCAGTAAGCACAACAGAATAAAACTGTTTTCTGTTGATGTATGCTACTGGGTTCTCACAGTGTGGTTTCACAATAGGAATGTGGCATCCATCTACCGCACAGACAGTGTTGGGAAATCCTGCTGCACAAAATCCTAACTCAGAATTATGTAGGGCTTGCCCTGTGGGCCAGGAAATGTGGTGAGACAAATATGTGGTGACAAGACTACAGAATTCATGGAGATGCAGGCAGACAGTGGATTTGGTGATATTGAAACGATCAGCAACCCCCCTATAGGACTCCTGGTTTGATAGAGTCCACAGACAGGCAAGAACACTGTTTTGAAGCGGCACTTTACTGTGCTGTCTGTTCCAGTAGAACGGGCCAATAGTCGTCATCACATCCTGTTTGGTAGAAAGGAATAAATGGCTTTTAATATCACCAGTCCAGATAATACATATTTGATGTTATTTATATATATATATATATATATATATACACACACATACTTCCACATGTCCCCTGGACAATCGGAAATGACTTTTGAAGTCTGAAGGACTGTACTGTGGGACCACTTCTTCCACAAATTGTTGGACCTTTGGAACGGATCTAAGGAAGGCAGACACAGGAGCAAATGATGACCATAAATCATTAGACCTATTCAACATTCTTTATATATATATATAACTGCTGCTGCTGCTGTAGGCCTATATTATCTTCACTTGATTTCAGTTGTATTCTTGTTTATTTATTGTATCTTTGTACTACTATCTTGCTTGCTTTCTATATCTTTAGTAAAGTAGCTTTTATCTTATCCCATTGGACTAAAAAAGACTAATAGTGTCATAATTTTGCACAATTTGTGATCTGTAGAGTAAAGTAATCAGTCCGGATAATCGATCATACTTTTTAATTTAGACTGATGCAACAATATATTTTGTCTTTTTACTTGTGTATTGTATTGTGTATCTGTTTTTGTTACCTGCCTAGGTAGCCTACTACGGATGTAAATTAGCACGTTTGCTCAAACACATTTATACTTCTTGTATTTTATACTGATGTTCATTAACATGCTCTGTCCCTATCAAATTAAAAAATAAAAAGATACGTAATTACCTCCGCAGACGGTGTTCATCATGCCATTCTCCATACAATACATGTGGGATTTCTATTATGGAAGCAAACAAGAGACAGAAGTATTCGAATTGTATTAGACACCGAATTTATAGCATTGAAAATAATTACTTTGAAAATCATGTATCTGAATGTTTTTGCTCCGAATTTACCTATGTGAAATAAAAATGTAAAAATTCAAGTGAAAAAAATTCGAATGTTCAAATTCAGATCCCAAAAATTCGACGTCAAAAAATTCGATGTCAAAAAATTCGGTGTATAAAATTCGATGTCAAAAATTGCGATGCAGCATCATCCGGGCTACTCAGACAGGATAAGCAATCGAGCCCTAATGCAATCAAACTGACTTGGCCTATCAGAGCACGGCTTTGTCAGTCATGTGATCACAACAACCCGGGAGAAAAATGACGGAGAACAGCGGGGCTCGGCGCTCGGGTAAGTAGTCAGTTTGTGCTCTTTATCTTACAAGCAGTGAGGGCTCGACAGCATTTGTATCTTACATTAGCTAAATGAGTGAAGTAGCCTTGCTGTTAGCAAGCTCCGTAGTTATCATTAATTGAAGTGAATCACAACGTTACCGTGTCCTTTTGTGTGTGTGTGTGTGGGGGGGGGGGGGGGGGGACGGTTTGCAAAGTAACGTAACGATCACTTCGGTTAGATAAGTCAAGTAGACCATGCTACACTATACGAAATACTCTCTTACAAAAGCCCTGCATTTAAACATGTTAATGTTACTTTAGTAAAAGTATGCTAGTATAATTAGCAACAAGTGTTGTTAGAGTATTTAAAGTAGACACAAGTTATTCTATTATATTATATCATTTGATTTATTGTTATTACCGATGCACGAGTTGACTTAACTGTTGTAGTTGGAGCTCATTTGAACAATGAGCTAACTAATTATTACTTTCATAATGGTGTAATGTGCTGACTATTTTCTACATTAATAGATGAAGGTCTGGTTTGTTCAAACTCTCAAAATAGTAGGACCAGAGCCCGAGAGACTCGAGGGCTCTGAGTAGGACATGCTGTCATAATTACCCAGAGTCCGAAGTGACACCTTTACAATGTTAAAGCTGTTGGATAAATGTAGTAACGTAAAAACTAAAGTATTCAAGATAGTGTAGTGGAAAAGAGATAATGTTTTTTTTTTTAAATGTTACCAAAACAAAATCTCTTGTTTTGGACTGACAGTAATGATTCAAGAAATAGTAGATAAATAAATACACACACATCAATGTGTTGTGGATGGAACACAACAAATGGTGCTCTTACCTGTGATGCCTCCTCCACACATTATAACCAGACTGTATCATTCAAACTATAAGTAACAGTTCTAGCTACTTGACTTCAGACAAACAATTCAAAAGACAAAATCAACACAATGTATTGAAAGACCAATCTTTATTTCTCTCCTTTTGTTTGTGTTATTAAACCCTGTCAATCTAAAAAACTGAGCAACTCAACAGTTAACTTTATATTTCTTATTGTCCAAAGCATCTATTACACTATTTGTTCCCCTCTCATATTCACAGGATGGATGATTAGAGACTTTGGGGGAAACCTCAGCTTTATGAACGTCCTGTCTGTTGCTTTGGCCAGAGAGGGCTGAGGGTCTTTCCCTGCGAGGAGTCCTCCTCGCAGGGAAAGACCCTGCAGGCCTGAGGGAGGAGGACCAGACCTGATGGAGGAGGACCTGCACCACCTACAGAACTTAGCCCATGCTGGGCATAGCTGTTACCACCTGCACAGGCCTAGCCTGTCAATTAACAGATTAACATTGAGTGTAACTTATGTATATTATTTCGTTTTTATTTTTTTTTAAAAATGGTGATGGTTCATGCTTGATAACTTTTAGCTCACATTTCAATAAATTGTATTTGCACTCCTTTTGTCCGTTATCCTTACTGAAAATGTTAAATTACACATTCACATCTGACTGAAGATTGGTACCATTTATTTATGACGTTCCAAACTCGGCGGCACAAGGCACAAGTGATGTGAAGCTCAAAGTGCAAATGCATTTGATCAGCTGACTTTTTTTTTGCCAAACTTTATAGGCCTGACAATCACACTGTCTCTGAGGTGCAACGTAAAACACAAAACAACACAAATGAAGTTCCTGTTAGACTACAAAACTATTCAGTGTGCAGGTCTTTGTGTTACAATACAAGTGTCTCTTAGTGAATGTCCTGTACTGCTCTTAAATCTCATAACATCAGCTTTTCCTTTCCCTCTTGGATGTTCTTCTGGACCCTCAGAGAAAGAGAACATGGTGAAGCAGTCCTGTCTCTCAGGCGTGTCCTTTCCTAACAGAAATATCAAAAAACATATTATTGCTGAGCAAGTGTGTTATTTAAGAAAGAGGTGTGTTTGTTTGTTCATAAATATAATGATTTTTTATTTGAATGTGTTTTTTAAATCCAACAGTGTACTGCAAAGATAATCAGATTATGAATAAACCGTTCTAAATTCATCAACATTGAAATAAATGTATTATTAAAATAATATTTAACTGTTATCAAAACTTAGTGCAACTGTAGAAGCTTGCTCTGTCCGGTTGTCTCACTGAAAGACAAAGGGTCGCAGCTCTCACTATGTGATGTTGCTTGGTAAAATGTAAATGTAACCTTTTGCTAAGAAAGTACACTCAACATCACTGATGTGTAGGAGATCTAGTATTCAGTCATGTTTAATGGCATGTCTATCAGTGTATTAGAGTCATTACTTTATGCATTCTTTGTAAAGCATGAAAAAGGTGTACCTTGGAATCCGTGCTGAAGTTCTCTGCTGCTAGGACTCCAGATCTGTCTCTCCTCCTCTGGTCCAGGTCTGTCTCTCCTCCTCTGGTCCAGGTCTGTCTCTCCTCCTCTGGTCCAGATCTGTCTCTCCTCCTCTGGTCCAGGTCTGTCTCTCCTCCTCTGGTCCAGGTCTGTCTCTCCTCCTCTGGTCCAGATCTGTCTCTCCTCCTCTGGTCCAGGTCTGTCTCTCCTCCTCTGGTCCAGGTCTGTCTCTCCTCCTCTGGTCCAGGTCTGTCTCTCCTCCTCTGGTCCAGGTCTGTCTCTCCTCCTCTGGTCCAGATCTGTCTCTCCTCCTCTGGTCCAGGTCTGTCTCTCCTCCTCTGGTCCAGGTCTGTCTCTCCTCCTCTGGTCCAGGTCTGTCTCTCCTACTCTGGTCCAGCCTGTCTGGATCACCTTAAGGAGACTTTGAACAAACAGATGTAAAGTTACATGCGTGGGTTACAGACTTCTTTCCATGCAAACAACTTTTTATCTTCTTTTAAAAACAGGTCATAATCTTATTGTTATACTTCAGAAATTGCTGGATATCACAGTCCTTATACTGTATCAGTTTGATTGAGTATTATTGTGTAGGTCCTTTTTATTTTACTGTTACTTTGGATGAGGTTTTCATGAGTCAGTCAAATTAATTTGTTTTCATATGCCATATTCATATGTATCACACACGTAAGGGTAAGACACAAACCTATTGAACAAATGCAATGCAATGGATAAGCTTAATTTCCACTGAAGTCACAGATAACGTCATATATAATATTTAAACAAATCATTTCCTTGTCACTAAAGCATTGACTACGCTATTCATCGTCCTTAAATGCAGGAATTAAGTTACATGTTCTGTTCTACAGCCACGATGAGGCTGTTTCTCAAGTGTGAGGATAATACAATTAAAAGAGGCATTGGTAATAATATTAAAAACAACAATGTTCGTCGGATAGGCGGTTAGCTGCAATAAATAACTCCAGTTCAACAAACCATATTACAATATCTAAGGGAGCGTTATTATCTTGAAATGTGACGTTCATATTTTAAAGATACACATATTTCATTGTGAGGTTGATTTAAGCCTCTCTTCAACAATACGTTGACGTTAGCTAGTCTATTGTATGCTATAGTAGAGCATAGCGAATTTAAATGAACCTTAACAATGCATACAGTAACCTAAATAGCAAACTAACTATCTAACGTACAAGGATGACCTTATTTGAGCAACCTCGCACAGAAGCCTTTTGGTAGACAGTAGCATCCCACTTAATGTTTTACACTCTTGGATGCTACGCATAGCATCGTTAGCACAGATGGAGCTACGATTGCTCAAATACTACCCCAACTCTAAACATTCATTAACGTTAGCTTAATAAAAACACCAGTAACATAACATAAAGTACGCAGGGTTGACTTACCGAAGAAACTGCATTCATGGACGGTCTGTTTCAACGGCAGATAAATCCTATATTTGCAGGACGAATAGTCCACCAGGAACCAACACAACAAACATGGCCGAGTTCAAGTAGTGTTCTCCTCATGAGCTGAGCCGCTGTAGCATCACGGAGCTAACGGAGCTAGCAGAGAGGAGCTAGGAGCAGCAGCCCCGTTGTCATGAAGGGGGAATCTAACTATATACAGAATATGTTTTTGTAGATCCAGGCTAGAAACATGTTCATTTTCTGATGTTAAGTTGGACATTTTAACAAAGGGTCTACGGGAATTGCTCCCATCTGCATCCATCGCCTATAGTTTGCAGCATTGGGCTTCACCGCACTGTCCCGGGGTTTGCCGCTTGGCTCTGATAGGCCAGAAGTCGGTTTGATTGCATTAGGGCTCGATTGCTTATCCTGTCTGAGTAGCCCGGATGAGGCTGCATCGCAATTTTTGACGTCGAATTTTACACACCGAATTTTTTTACATCGAATTTTAAACACCGAAATATTTGACGTCGAATTTTTTTCACTTGAATTTTTGGGATCTGAATTTGAACATTCGAATTTTTTTAACTTGAATTTTTACATTTTTATTTCACATAGATAAATTCGGAGCAAAAAAAAATTCAGATTCATGATTTTCAAAGTAATTATTTTCAATGCTATAAATTCGGTGTCTAATAAAATTCAAATACTTCTGTCTCTTGTTTGCTTCCATATTCTATTGCATCCACTTCATCTGCAACGAAAAACGCCAACGCAATTTCCGCCATTGCAAACCCAGCCAGTCAAGCCGACTCCGAGCTGTCCGACTTAA